TTTCTGCTTTATTCTGGAGGGTTTCTGCTTTATTCTGGAGGGTTTCTACTTTATTCTGGAGGGTTTCTGCTTTATTCTGGAGGGTTTCTGCTTTATTCTGAAGAGTTTCTGTGGAGGCTTTATTCTGTTAGACAAACTGCAGATTGGACCTTTTTGGTTCTGAAAGCCTGGAGATGCACAGAAACAAAAGTTTAGCATTGACCTGTTTTTATTTTGACAGAATGGGGTCAAATATAAAAACAGGAAAAAAGTTTATTTTGGGTGAAAGAACAAAATAAAAAACTTCTTCACTCATTAATGGAAACGAAAAATTTATCACTAAAGCTAAATGTTGAGTCAGCATTAAAATTGATGTTTTACTGTTTAAAGTTAAACTTGTTTTGTTTTGCAATTAAATTATTTCCACATGATTCATTTTATTTTAATCATTAAAAACTGAAACAAAACAAAAACTGTTCTTAGTTTTGTTTTTTGTAATTTTTATACTTTTAAATAATCCATTTTCATTTGAAATAAACTGTACCATAGAAATACATGGAGCTCTCCGCAATTCCTTCAAACATTGTCTTTTGGAAACTGATTTATTGTACTTTATTTTTGACTTCTTATGCTAATTTTAGCTTGTATAATTATTTAGCCACTTTTAATTACTGTAGTGCTGTTTTTAGCTAAGTTTTTTTGTTGTTGCTAAATTTAGCTTGCAGATACCAGTTTCCTTTTTTTCTTTTAGCTCTTCTACGGTTTACTTTTAACCTTTTTAATATGATTTAGCTTATGTAAAATTTTAGCTATGATTATGCTCATTTGTAGATTTTTACCTACAATTTTACTATTTTTTAGCTAAAATTTTGCTAATTTTAACTTCTAGCTACCGTTTGATAATGTTAGCTTTTAGCAATAGTTTCTCATTTTAGCCTTTAGGTATGGATTAGCAGATTAATTTGTTTTGCAATGGTTTTCCTCATTTTAGTTTTAAGCTACATTTCTGCTAAATTTTGCTCTTAAATACAGTTTTTTTTTTAAGTACTGTTTTACTCATTTTAGCATTTCCTGATGTTAACATTTAGCTAATTTGTTTTTTTTACTTAATTTTTTAGATCCAGTTTTACTGATGTTAGCATTTAGCTAATTTATTTTTTTACTTAATTTTTTTATCCAGTTTTACTGATTTTAGCTTAGCTACATTTTAGTTCATTTTAATTTTGAACTATTACTTTTCTAACTTTACTTGCTATTAGTTTTAGCATTTAGCGATAATTTAGCTAATTTTATTTTATTAGCTATAGTTTTGCTTATTTTAGCTTTCACCTACTTTTAGCTAAGGTTTTGCAAAGTTCAACTTAAATATTGGTTTGCTTATTTTAGCTTTTAGCTACAGTTTACCAAAGTTTAGCTTTTAACTACTCTTTTGTTAATAATAGCAAATGTTCAGCTTGTTTTAACTTTGACAGTTCAGTTTCAGCTTCAACAAATTCCAACATTCAAACTGTATTTTTATTTTTTTTAAGGTCTGCCTTGCACTTTTTGTGCAACAACTGTTCAAGGTTTATATTTTAGGCTGTTTCTGTCTGCCTCTCATGAACTTGGCGGTCAGGGAGCAACAGGTGCAGGTGTGCAGTTACCAAGGTGACCTAAATGTGTGGTTACCACGGTGACCTTAATGAGCCACTGGCAGCAGCTTTAATGTTTCTTTTGATCTGGATTCTCTTTACACCTCGTATGTCAAATGGAGACAGATTTTTTTAAGTCTCATTTTGGGAGTTTTGAGCAGCAGCTGCGTCGTTTCTTCTGTTTTTCCATCACATCTCACTTGAATTACGTTTGAGACGTTGATGAACATGGTGATATTGCCTCCGTTTGTGGTTTTTGTACCTTTCTCCCCATCATTAACCAAGTTCCTTGTTTTCTCTTTCAGGTGTTGTTGCAGTTAAGTGGGACAGAAGCTTCCAGTCCGATCTGAGGCGTTTTACAGCTTCACCCAGCTGCGTCAGCTGGAGCTAAAAACAAGATATTCCCATCTGTGATTCCACTTTGCAGTGAAGAAAGAAGAAAAATCTGCGGGCTTCAGTTTTTGATCTCAAAACCATCAGGAAGATAACGAGCTGAAGGTTCGTGGGGGGAGAGAGAAGTGTGTTCCTCGGATGCATGGAAACGTCTCCGCTCCGGTTTGTGAAGTCGGCATGAAGCAGGACCTCGAGAGTTGAGTTCAGCAAAGGTAAACCAAAAACTACCGCTAACTACGAGCTTCGCTTTGTGTTTTTCTGTCACTACGATGGATCCAACAAGATGAATGTAGTCTTTGATTCTTGGACAACAAAAACCCAACTGGTGGTTTCTCCGTTCTTTAAGACTCGGCTGATGGAAACCTATAATTCTCTAAATTACTCTGTAATTACAGAAAGCCAATGGTCAGTTTTAGACATCAACACTGTGACTATCTCCCCTGGAGATAATTGCAAGCGTTGCCGTGTGAAATTAAGAGTGCACATTGTTGATTCAATTATCGGGCCTTCTATAAGGTTAAAATTATATTTGATGCTCACACTTTTGGAGTCGACCAATGAAAATGGCAGTTTATCTCGGCGTGCCAACTGGAGCAAGGTTTGTCTTCGATGCACCACTTGATGTGCTTTCCTGTTGTTTAATGTTGATCATTATTTACTTCCAGCAAATTAACATTTGCCCTTTTAATTCAGAATACAGTTGAAATGGCTGCTTTCTGGGCCGAGCAGCAAACCAAGACATGTCCAGCTCCACACAGCTGCTTTTTAATCCTTATCACTTCAGAATACTTCATTTTGCCCCCTAAAAGGTTATTTACGGCTCGTTAGCAGGACTTTTTTGATTCCCCCAGCCATCCATAGGCTGTACGCTGCATTTATTTACCCCATGAAACTCCTGCTGCCTCACGTTTAGAGGAACACTTCGTCTCATTTGCATCGTGCCTGAAGGAAGAGTAAAGATGGACGTGGATGTTGTCAGTTCTTGCGGGCAAATGTTTCACATATAATGTGAAAAAATGTGGAAATAACCCAACAAGTCTGCCGCAACACAAAGCTCATCGGGAAAAATTTGAGTTTAGTTTATAAAGCTGAATCACATTAATTTTAGTTGTGATGCATTTAGCAAAAGTCATCCATCTAAAGAAGCCAGGAAGTCTTCTCTTTGTTGTAATCCCCCATCCTGAGCAGCACGTTGGTGGCGGTGGGAAGAAATGACTTCCTTGGAGAGTAGAGCGAGTAAAGACAGCAGAGTGACGAGATGCGTCGGTTTGTCCTGCAGCAGGCTCGGCCTATAGCGGCAGAACTAAGGGATGGCTCAGGAAACCCGAGCCAACCCTAACTATAGGATTTATCTACAAGGAAAGTCTTAAACCTGGTGTTAAAAGTTAAGTCTCACAGGAGCGGAGTCTGGAAACTGAAAGCTCCGCCTACTCTACTTTTAGAAAATGTGCTTCTTTATGTCAAATAAACAGACTTGGTGTTTGTTGTGTTTGTTTCTGCAGACGGAGACACCCTGATGGTTCTGGCATTAATGTATTTTATGACTAAACCACGAGTGTCTGATCCTGGTCCTCGAGGGCCACCATCCTGCACGTTTGTTTCTGCTCCACCACACCTGATTCAGTGGTTGACCTATAATATAATGGTTACCTGAAACATGCTGGGTAGTTTTCCTCGAGGACCCGGACTAAAGTCACCACCCTGACAGAATCGGCTTCTTTTTTACCTTAAATTCACGTTGACTGGTCTTTTATGCCTTTCAGGGAAAGAGACGCGGGGACGGTTGTTGTCCAGACATCCACGAGCATGTCCCTCTGGTCTCTGTGATCCACACACCCACTGCTGCGTCGCCTCTGCCCCGTCAGCCTCGTCTTTCCCCGTCCACGCCCCGTTCAAAGGTGGACGGGCCAGCACCGTTCTTCTGCAGGTGCCGTCCAGAACGTGAGGGCGGCGAGGGCTGCGCTGTCATTGGCTGACTGCTGGCGAGAGTGCGATGCGGATTGGAGCATGTCGGGGGACTGGGATGAAGACCTGTGTAAGAAGGCGCTGGTGCTGGTGGAGGAGCTGTGCTTCAACTCGCCGAGAGGTTACAGCCAGAGCGAGCGGTGCCAGGAGTTCAGCTACCTGCTGAGGGGTCGCAACAGACCGGACCCAGGTAACCCACCTCAACACACCTGGAGCTTGTTTCCAACCACACATCCCTGTTTCTGGGATCTTTTTGGGGGCGGCTGTGGCTGAGTGGTTAGAGCAGTCGTCCTCCAGTGCAAGAGTTGGGGGTTCAAATCCACCAGCAGTCACATGCCGAAGTGTCCCTGGGCAAGACACTAAACCCCTCATTGCCTCTGATGTGTGTCCCCATCAGTGTATGAATGTGATAAAGCTCTGATTAGTCTCTTTAGAATGACTTCTTCAATTAGCTTTGTAGAGATCTAGTAGAGTGAATGGGTAAATGAAGCACAGATTGTTGCAAAGCGCTTTGAGTGCCTTGATAAGATAGAAAGGCGTTATATACTGCAAGTACAGTCCATTTACCATTTTTAAGGTGCTCTCCAAGGATCAGAGCTAGACTCTGGTTTGTGGATTCTTACTTTATTTTATATTTAATCTGCTGCTTTGTTTATTATGACCAAAGCCCAAGAGGCAGTATGTACTTTTACCAAATAATCAAACAAAGTACAGTATCTCACGAACCACTAAACAGGCTTGAATGAAACTCTCAGAAAGCACTCATTGGGTGTACCGACTTCTTTTTATATCCATCTCATCTTAATATGGCTGCCAAAGCTAACAGCTCTTGCTGCCAGTAGTTGCTAAAATAGCATTATCGATGGAGTCTCCTGATGCAGGCTCAATAATCCAGGTAGAAAAATCTACCAAGATTAAGTCGGGTCCTCTGGACGGATTCTTGTTTGTTGACAAGAAGAAAAATCTGTCCAGAGGACCCGACTCAACCTTGGTAGACATTAACAAGGGAGTGTCCAGAATGTCTCAAGACTTCTGCAGGGCTCACTTTCCTCAGCGTTCCAATATATTGTGTGAGTTTTAGGCATATTCAAAAGAAAAACAAATTGTGGACAAGTTTTCTGTGCAAGTACTCGGAGAGTCTTTGGGGTTTCTCAAGCCCTTTTCCATTTAGTCAGGAATTTTGCTGAAATTTGACGAAGAAGCTAAAATGTAATAAACAAGCAGAATGGAAGCTAAAATTATCAACAGGTAAGGCTAAAACACTCTATAGAGCTTAAATTAGTAAAACATTAGCTAAAAGCTAATATTAACAGAACGACTGCTAAAAGCTAAGCGTAGCAAAAGAGGACCCAAACAGAGCAAATGTTCTGAAATGGATTTAAAAGGAATTCAAGTTTTTGAAGCAACTGCGGAGATTTCAATGTGTTTTTATGGGGGAAGTATTTGTAAATAACATTAAATATGTACAAAAGTATAACATGTACTAAACTATGGGGTGCCATTTGTAAAGTTGCACAGTCAAAAATGAACATCAATATTTTGGTTTATTTAGCCTTTAATAATAAAAAAAAAATTCAAAGTTTTTCAACATTTTATTCATATATTTATAAACATCATAGTTCCCAACTAAATATTTAATTTACAGATAAATATTTAGTTTACAAACTTGCAAGTTAAGTATATAGTTAGCAAACTAAATATTTAGGTGTACATTAAATATTTAATTTATACCTAAATATTTAGTTAGCTATATATTTTGGTATAAATTAAATATTTAAATTACACCTAAATATTTAGTTTACTAACTAAATATTTAATTTCTAAGCTAAACATTTAATTCCTAAACTAAATATTTTATTTGCCAACTAAATATTTAATTTGCTAAATAAATATTTAACTCAGACTTAAATATTTAACTAGCAAGTTAAATATTTAGCTAGCAAGATAAATAATTAACTTGCAATTTAAATATTTAGTTAATAAACTAAATATTTTGGTATAAATTAAATGTTTAATTTACACAAATATTTAGTTTACTAACTAAATATTTTATTTCTAAGTTAAACATGTAATTCCTAAACTAAATATTTAATTTGCTAATTAAACATTTAGCTTGGACCTAAATATATTTTACAAACTAAACATTTGAATTTCAAAATAAATATTTAATTTGCCAACTAAATATTTACCTCAAACCTAAACATTTAACTTGTTAGTTAAATATTTAACTTGCTTGGTCCAAGCTGAATATTTAGTTAGCAAATTAAATATTTAGTTTAGGAATTAAATGTTTAGCTTGGAAATAAAATATTTAGTTGGTACACTAAATATTTAGGTGTAAATTAAATATTTAATTTATACCAAAATATTAAGCGAACTAAATATTTAGCTATAAATTACATATTTAATGTACACCTAAATATTTAGTTTGCCAACAACATATTTAACTTGCAAGTTAAGTATTTAGGTTGTAAACTAATTATTTATCTTGTAAATTAAATATTTAGTTGGGAACTATGACATTTATAAATGCATTAATAACATGGTAAAAATAAGGCTTTGAAAAAACAAACTATTTTTTATCTTATTAAAAGCTAAATAAACCAAAATATTAATGTTAATTTTTGACTGTGCAACTTTACAAACGGCGCCCCATACTAAACACCACAAGTTATAGCAGCAATCGTCTGAATGGGACAAACGTTTTTATATATGAACGGCTAAAATAACACAAAGTATAACAGAGTAAACTATAAACAGGAAATTAAACGTGTGAATGCTGACTCGGCAATCACATAAGCTTTGATTTCCAATTTATCGTGTTCAGAAAGAATGATGATGATGTTAACAGGCTCCTTTTGAAGGAGATAAATTTGGCATTTTGTGAAAAATATATCCAAAAGAATTGGGACTGTTTTCATTATCATGGTGTCAGAACTCAACAGGAGCGAGGATAGACTGTGATAACGCTAATGATCACTTGTGTTTAAGGACGTTCAGAAGTTTTACGCACTCTGAACAAAACAAACCATGAAATATTCATGTGGCAGATTGAAATGACGAGTCATTCCAAGATCTCCAAAAGAGTCTCAGTGGGGTTCTGCAGATTCAGCGCTGAATTTTATAGACGTGAATAAATCTATACATTACCAATCGGAGGGGAAACCTCCTGTTAAACTGAATCTGGGTCTCGTGGGACGTTTTGGGGGTGCTTCACAGATTAGCGTAGATCTGTGGCTCAGTGTAGATTAGCCTGGATTGGCTTCGTGTCGCCTCCTGAGAAGAAATGTCATGGTTTTTAGGTTTACGAGCTGGAATTCTTTTTTCTGTTTGCTGATGGAAGCGTCCGATCCCTCAGAGGGCTGCGATTGCCGTAAGCTGTCAGCGAATGGCTTGTGTAAGCAGCGGAGATGTGTTTGATGTGGAGCGTCGTGCGACTCCCGGCGGGAGTTGCGTCAGGCGCCGATTGACAGGGAGTCTCGGTCGCTTCTCACTTCAGAGGCCTCCGGCTTCCCACCCACCGACCCCGCCTGCTGACTTGCTTTTCATGCTTTGTGGATTAGTGACGGATCTTTGGCAGGATCAGTGCTCGGGAAGGTACGGCGACTGTCCTAAAGAGAGACAAATGGAGGAGAGCTGACGGTCGCTGCGCACGTTTGATCACTACAGCGTCTTATCTGTGCAGCCTGATCTCCCAACCAGACACAAGCTACTCCTCTGCCGTCGTCTTCCCCCCCATCAATGCATTAACCTTTCGCTTTCAGAAACTCCTCACCTCTCTCAGTGTTTTGCTTTAAATCACTGTCAGCTTCAACCATCTCTCTGTTTTTTCTCTTATTCTCACTGTCTTTTGTGTTTCTGCTCTTTCAAACATGGCATGATGGTTGTATTGACTTTATGACCTTCCCTCCTCTTCATCTGATTCATTGTGAACCATTTGAACATGCCCACCCATTTGATTTCAGTCTTCGGCCACTGTCTGTTCTGTTGGGATTTTATTTTTATTCAACTTAACTATTTTCTCTGTTTCAAGGGAAACTCGGTCAAGATTCCAACCATTTTTTCATTCAACCTTTATTTATACAGGTTAATTCCATTGAGCCTCAGGGACTCATTTACAAGAGAGACCTGAAGACTGATGACAACAGTGGACAACAAAGACAACAATAGGCAATCATAAAAGATACGTACAAATTGAGAATAACGTGAAAATAAAGTGGTATTAAAAAAAATGTAACAAAAAAACAGCTGTAAGGCAATGTAGAAAACTAAAAACTGGAACATGTCTGCACTGGTTTTTCCCATTAACTTAGCAGATGTTTAAATTCCCTTAGAGAGGTCAAGGTTGAGAGCTTCAGATCTTTTTACAAGATTTCCAGGAAACGGGAGCGGAGTAGGAGAAGGCCCTTTTGCCTAGTTCAGTCCGCACTGAGGGAACACTGCATGTAATCATGTCCTGGGAGCGCACACTGTAACTGCACTCATGCAGAGTTATGTAGGAGGAGATGTATGAAGGCAGCAGACCAAGAAGTGATTTAAAGATGAAAATGTACCAGTGAGAGAGTCTGCGTGAGGTTAATGATGACCAGTGAATACAGGGTGCAATGGTGGTACGGTAGTTACAGTCAGTTATGAATCTTAGTGCATCGTGATAAACAGCATCCAACATCTGCAGGGTGCTTGTAGGAGTGTTCATGTAAATAATATCACCATAGTCAATGGAGGGAAGGAAAGTCACAGTTACAAGATGTTTCCAAGCATTCAGAGATAGACGGGATCGATTTCTGAAAAGGAAAACAGTTTTACTTTCAGTTGCCTTACTAGGTTTTCCCCGTGGAGCTTAAAAAAGAGATGCGAGTCGATCCAGATACCCAAATATTTTTAGGACTTGACAAACTCAATAGGAACACCATTCAAAGATAAAATCAGGTTCAGGTTAGGTTTATTTGTCATATGCAAAATCAACACAAGGTCAGCAATGCAATGAAATGCTTATTAGAACCTAATCGAAGGAAGAACTGCTGGGACCGACTTCCTGTTTGAAAACAACATCCCTTTGGTCTTGTCAGTGTTTAGGACAAGTATGAGACAGAACAAATCTGACTGGATGATGTCAAAAGTGGATTGCAAAAGCTGGAAAGCCTTAGCAACTGTTTTAGCTCGACAATAAACAACTTTGTCTACAGCATA